CCACTTCAGCTGCAAGACGTTTGTGGGTTTTTTTTAATAAGGGCATTAGAAAGGAAAGTGATTTCTGGCCAACAACATCCAAGGAAGGTCACAAGATACCTCACTAAGCAGTTATAAATTTAGAAGCTTTTGGCTGAATGCTGCATTCTTCAGGAGGGCAGACAAGTTCATCTCGAGTAAAACTTAATCAAAGCTAGTTTGCTTCATTTACAATAGCAGTTTATACCTGAGATTATTTAAGTACATAATTTTTACAGAGAAATGACGACTTTGAACACAAGTAAACTTTGGTTATGAGCAGCTTTGTTTTAAAGGGGTTACAACTAATTTCCCCCTCTTTTCTTATGTTTGCAGAAGATGAGCAAGTCTCCGCTGTTTAAGAACCGGGGCTTTTCTGGATCCAGAGTGAGCCACCTTAAAGGAGAGCACAAGAAGATGTCCCTAGAACAGGAGCCTTGGAACTATAACTAAAGGATGGTGGACCTATTTGCCTCCTTCCCTGCCTTAAAGCAGCATGGGGCTTCTTCTCCCCCTTCCTCCCCCTTCTCCCTTGCATGTGAAATACTGTGAAGAAATCGCCCTGGCACTTTTCAAACTGTGTTGCTTGAAATGCACAGTGCAGCAATCTCCAAGCTACCACTGTCGCTGTCTGCCACATCACACAGTATCATTCCAAATTCCAAGATCATCACATCAAGATGATTAATTCTGGCTGCACTTCCCAATGCCTGGAAGGGTTTTTTAATCTTTCTTTTAGATTTTAATCACAATCCTAGCACTTAGTCTCATTGGGATAATGAGATAAGCTAGTTGTCAAACTACATTTGGCCTTTAACCTACAAAGAGAAAAATGCATTGAAATCCTTCAAGGACACAGTGCTTGTTTGCTTGTTTACAATGCCTTCATTACAATTCTGTATATTTGTGTTCTGACAGCAAATGTTACAGCTGCATCATAAGTACAGTATTATTTCATACCTTTAAGTAGGGTTGCCAGCCTGGGCTCGTAGAAACAAAATGAGTATCGCATGGCAGAGTATGGCAGAATGGAAGGCAAGGGTTGTGAGACAGACTGAGCTCCACTTTTAAAGTGCCCCATCCTGGACTCTTCAAAAGTGTACATTTTTTGAATTACTGGTATTATCAGCTGGCTTTATGTAAATGCAGTGCTTGCGAGTATCCAGTGGAGAAAAACAGGACACTGTGTGTCCCATACCTGTGCCTTGTGGAATACAGGATGGCATACTGCAGAAAGTGTCCCATTTGAATGAGACAGATGGCAACCCCACCTTTTAAGTTATTGTTGTGCTCTTTCTCTCTTTTACTATGATTAGAAGCATAGTTTATTTTAAGAGAAAAATTAACTGGATACTTTTGCAGTGAAGGCAAGCTGGGATGTCACAGCTACTGTCAGCTGTTTAATACTGATCTAATACTCTCCCTTTATTGACTTGGCATTAGGGAATAAACAAGCCTTTAAATGACAAATAATGAGTTTAGATTTGCCAGCCTTTGCAATGCAGAAATAGTCACAACTGTTAATGGCTTTATGGAACACTGCATGTGTAGAGAAGGCCAACGTGTAGCAACCACCTGCTCACAGCTGCTATTAACCCTGTAATGACTGAAATGACCCTTCCCCTCTATTTTTGTGTTGTTTTTGCACAGACTCCGGAAAAGTGAAGGCTGCCATTCCGAGTAGTACTCAGATGTGAGGAACTGCTGGTCTTGGGTTTTTTTGTTTCCATTGAACTCAGCTGATCATATTGATCAGTAGATAAACGTAAATAGCTTCAACTTTTAAAGATCAAATTGCAGTGTTTTTTCACTGTATCAAAAATGTCAGTGCTTTATTTAATTCTTTCTCCTGGCTTTTGTCTGTTTGCTTATATATCACATTGTCAATTACGCATTTGTAATTTTACTTGTAATATGCATTATTTGCCAGTTTTATTCTCTAGGCTATGGACCTCATGTGCATATAGAAAGACAGAAACCTAGCTCTATCACAAGTTGCACAAATGTTATATAAGCATAAGTAATTGTAGACCATAGGACTGCTAATCTCAGTTCGCTCTGTGATGTCAAGTGCAGAATGTACAATTAACTGGTGATTTCCTCATACTTTTGATACTACTTGTACCTGTATGTCTTTTAGAAAGACATTGGTGGAGTCTGTATCCCTTTTGTATTTTTAATACAATAATTGTACATATTGGTTATATTTTTGTTGAAAATGGTAGAAATGTACTATGTTTATGCTTCTACATCCAGTTTGTATGAAGCTGGAAAATAAATAAATATAACATTAATGAAGTCCACATTGATTTTTACATATTTTGTGTTCTACGTACTTGAAAAAATTTAGCTATGAAAAGAATTTACTTCTATGTGTATGAATATTAAAGGGATGCTGCCAAGTAATGAGGTGTAAAGTTGGTGTGGAGTTTTTTTTAACCTACGTTTTTGTTGCTTATGTTCTGAAAATTCATCATTTTACTGCTCAACTAGAATGGACGATATTTGGTGGCTACCCTGCCTCAGAAGCAGTTAGAGGTAGAAAATCATTTGATTGTCTCTACAAAACCTTTGGGGCATAAGAAATATAAATGTTGACTTTATTTCATAGATTTCATAGACATTAGGGACTGGAAGGGACCTCATGAGATCATAGAGTCCAGCCCCCCTGCCAGAGGCAGGAAGTCTGCAGGGATCAAATGATCCCAGCAAGATAAACATCTAAATGCCTTGTGAATGAGTCCAGAGTAGATGCTTGCACCACTTCTGGGAGGAGTCTGCTCCAGACATTGGACACTCGGACTATAAAGACATTTTTCCTTATATTGAGTCTGAATTGGCCTTCCAGAAGTTTGTGATTCTTGGACCTAGTTATCTTCTGGGGAGCCCTGGTGAACAACTGTTCTCCCAGATCCTGATGATCCCCACCCCCGCCATATACTTATAGGCAGCCACCAAGTGCCCCCTGAGCCTTCTCTTCACCAGGCTGAAGATTCCCATGTAAGGCTTGCTCTCCTGGCCTTTGATCATATGACTCTCTCAAGCCTGTGCACATCCCTCCTGAAATGGGGGGGCCCAAAAGTGGATGCAGTACTCCAGCTGCGGCTTCACCACAGCTAAGTAAAGCAGGAGGATGATGTCCCTGGTTTTACTCGAAATGCATTTGTAGATGCACGCCAGAATTTGGTTTGCTCTGTCAGCCATGGCATCGCATTGCACGCTCATGTTCATCTTGTGGTCAATCAAGACCCGCAAGTCCCTTTTGGTTGCCCTGCTAGTGAGTATAGCATCACTGAGCCTATAAGTATGATGCTGGGTTTTTTGTCCCAAGGTGGAATACCCTGCATTTTTCTATGTTGAATGCCATCGGGTTCTGGTCAGCCCACTTGACAGGCAAGTCCAGGTCAGCCTGTATCCCCAGTCTGTCCTCCAGCATGACCACCTTCCCCCATAGTTTAATGTCATCTGCGAACTTTGCCAGTCCACATCTGATGCCCAAATCCAGGTCATTAATAAAGATATTGAAGAGTACTGGCCTGAGCACTGAGCCCTGAGGGACTCTACTGGTAACCTTGTGCCACATTGATTTGTTCCCATCAACTGGTAACCTTTTGGGTCTGACCCTGGAGCCAGTTCCCCAGCCATCAGATTGTGAGATCGCCAAGGCCACAGTTCCCCAGCTTGGTCATGAGGACATCATGGGAGACAAAGTCAAAGGCCTTCTTGAAGTCCAGATAAAGAACATCAACCTTGTCTCCCTTGTCCAGGCAATGCATCACCTGGTCATAGAAGGAGATGAGGCTGGTCAGGCAAGACCTGCCAGTGATACAGGTCAGTCGCATCTTACGCGGGGGTTAGGTTCTGAAGTCAGCGCGTAAGGTGAAAATAGCGTATAGTCAAATCGCGTATTACTGTGCCAGCGATTTGACTAGCGGTGACTGCCTCTGCCTCCAAAACCTCCCGCCGCCACTGCGGAGCTGTGCTTAGAGCTGTGCGGCCAGCGGCAGTGGCGCAGCATGGGGTGGTGGTGGGGAAGGCTGCGTGCCGCCTGGCCACCACCACGCTGCCAGCGGTGACTGCCTCTGCCTCCAAAACCTCCCGCTGCCATTGTGGAGCCGTGTTTAGAGCTGTGCGGCCGGAGTCAGCGGCACAGTGCGGGGTGGTGGTGGGGATGGCTGCATGCCACTCAAGCCCTGCCCCCTCCCACCCCGCATATAGTTGACTTCGCGCAAGCTAAATGCATGTATGATGCGACTGACCTGTAAAACCATGTTGCATGGCATTCAGTAGGTGACCTTCTGTTAGCCTGTTGCAGATGGATCCCTTGATAATTTTCTTCAAGATTTTTCCAGGGATTCCCTGGATCTTTTTTCTTCCCTTTCTTGAAGATTGGGACCGCGTTGGCTCTTTTCCAGTCTTCTGGTACATCACCCAAGTGCCACGAGCTTTCAAATATCTTGGCCATAGGACATGCTATTATGTCTGACAGCTCTTTTAAGACTCTGGGGTGTAATCCGTCTGGGCCTGTGGACTTACGGATGTCAAGCCTCTTGAAGTGTTCTCTCACTCGATTTACGTCAATAGTGGGCCCATCTCCCAAGCCCTGGTTGCTTTGCATCCTGTCTGGCAGCGTAACCCTCTTGGGCAGGTGGAAAACAGATGCAAAGTAATCGTTTAGGAGACTGGCCTTTTCTTGGGTATCAGACATCAGCTGCCCTGTTTGATCTCACAGGGGGCCAATGTTGCTTGTGTTCTTCCTCCGACTTCCCACATATCTGAAGAATGGCTTTTTATCTTTGATTCCAATGGCTAGCCTGAGCTTGGTTGCTGCCTTGGCTTTTCTGGACTACTCCCTACAGATACAGGCTAGTGCTAAGTAGTCCTTCTTGGTGATGATTCCAGTTTTCTATCTGGCATAGGCTTCTCTTTTTTGTTTCAGGAGACCCAGAAGCTCCCTGTTGAGCCAAGGGGGCTTCTCTGCCCTCTGACTTTGTTTCCAGCAGGACAGGATAGTCTTCCCTTGTGCATTGAGGATTGAGTTCCTTAGACACAACCATTCCTCATGGACTCCCCTTCCTAGGGAGCCATAGTCCCTTAGTGCCTGACTAACCAGTGTCCTGAGTTTGTGCAAGTTAGGCTTCCTAAAGTTGAGGATTTCTGTTTTACTGAGGGATTTGCACACCCTGCGTTGGACAGAGAAAGTAATCAGATCATGGTCACTGTCACCAAGTTTGCCCTCGATCCTCAGGTCACTCACCAGATCATCTCCTTTGGCCAGAACCAGATCCAGCAGTGCCTCTCCCCTAGTTGGCCTGTAGACCTCTTGCGTTAGGTACAGGTCGTTAATGCAGGTGAGGCAGTTACACAACCAGTCAGACCTGGCCGTGTGCTCATCCGACAAGATGTCAGGGAGGTTGAAGTCTCCCATGACAATCATACATTGGGAACGTGCAGCCTTGGCCACTTCCCTATTGAATTTGAGATCCATATCTTCTTGATTAGGAGGTCTGTAATAGACTCCTATGAGTATATGCCCTTCCCCATGTTCTCCCCATATTTTAACCCTCCATGGTTAAATGAATTCAGTTTGAAGGGAAGGATACTGCTCCTTGACATAGATAGCTCTACACCCCCACCCCTTTTCCCAGCATGATCTCTCCTGTAGAGGGTGTATAGCATTCTATACCTACCGACCAGTCATAGGAGGAATCCCACCAGGTCTCCATTATCCCTATGAGATCATAATCATTATTGGTCAGGAGAAGGGCCAATGCTCTATAAGGAGAAGGACTTAATACTCTATAAGGTGTAGAGCAAGGAATCCAGGTGTGCAAAAGTTAGGGTGGAGAAGTAGCATGAAAATGAAGCATTACCTTCCAAGTTTTTAAATAGATACCATGAGTATTGAAGATTTTCTGAGGGCATCCCTTTTTACTTTTGTTTAATGCATGACATTAATTAGGTTTTTACTGATAATTATCTATTTGTATAGCGTACAGGAAACTGGTTTAAAATATCCGTACGTAACCCATTATTTGGCTTTTAATTAGTTTGAGGTTGTTTTTTTAATTCCTATGTTAATGTTTGAAAATTTGTCCTTTTGAAAGAAAAGAAAGAAAAAATATTTGTTTAGATTTCTGCTGTCACCTTTCACATGCCCACACTCAAATTCTAATAAAAGTGATGAACAGGTAAAATGTACAGTGCCAGCTTTTGAATGGGGATATAAGAATCTCCAATGATCATTACTATTACTTTTCACTTTTCTGGGACGTTTACCACTTTGAGGTGAGAAATTTTAGGTAGAATTAGATTTTCGGGATTGTGTTAATCTGCCTCTCATGCCTCTGGGTATTTTATGATTACGCTGCCCATTAATTCCATTAATAGAATGCAAATACATATTTTCATTCAGTTCTTTTTAAATCTCTCCCCTGCAAATTTATTCTTTGGGAATATGTACATATCCTGCATTCTGAGAGATTTTCTTTAATGACAGCTATTCCTTCCCTTCCCACACCCCCTCCCAGCTGGTTGGATGGTGTGTGTGTCACTTATCAGTCGCTTCTCTTCACCAGGGGTCAGCAGCCTATTGCCAGCATGGAAAAGAGCTTGCAGTTGGTCATAGTTACAGGCTGGAAGTCTCAACCCACCTGGACTGGCCAGCTGCCTGCACTCGCACTTCCCTCACTTGGAATCTGCAGTGAGAGTAACATGAAGCAGCAAGCTCTGTTGCAGAGAGAAGTGCTGCAGAAGGGATGGGCAGCTCAGTGCAGCTCTGTACCCCTGATCTCTCATGCCAGATCAGACCTTTTTATTGGTCTACATACTTTACAGCCTGCTCTGCTGGGTGGTATCCCCAGCCCTCTAATTTTGTACTGTTCCATTCTTCTACTTGCTATGTTTAGGACAATTGTCAAACGGGCACAAGAGTATAATAGGTATGCAAACCTGATCCAAAACTGCTGCTGTGTTCACTAAGGCAGGGGTGTCAAAAATATGGCTGCATTCAGCCTGTGGAATTGTAGCACTGGTCCACCAGTAGTCTGTGGAAGTGCTCTGTTCCTCAGCTCTGCACTGCTATGTGCCCCTGACACTTTGACTGGCCAGAGCTCCGTACCTCCGGGCAGCAGCACAGAGCTGGTGGTGTACAGCTGCTTGAACATGGGTCCATACAGCTGCATGCCTTTGACTCCATGCTGTTGACTGGTGATGTGGAGCTCTGCCCAGTTGGCAGTGCCAGCAGTGTGCAGCAGCATGGGTCTGGAGGCATGCATCTGCACAGAGCTGCATTCTTG